AAAGAGTGTAAACATTAGTTTCAGGAACGAAGAAGCACCATAACAAAATAAACACGGAACGAGAAATATGGATGAGACCATCAAATTGAGAAAAGAACAAAAAAAAAGGCAATTGAATCTCTATGTGTGCATGAACTCCCACAACTGCTTCATGAGTACTGCATAGAAACTTTCAAAGCGATTCATCCATTTCTCAGAGAGTAGCAGTCTGAGAAATGAATCTCTGTCATTCATTCTTGTTGAGTGATGTCTGTAATGTTAAACCTATCATTCTGAAATCAATTTGAACAACCACTATCACGTAACCTTAGGCGTACGCAAGTTTCCTCATTATCCTCTGATGTTAATTTTAGCAAATAATTAATATAATGCACTCATTTTCCAACCTTTTGTTATATATGTCTGAATCACCTAAGTCTATTTTCAATTGCCCTACCTTTAATAAGCTCTCCAACATTTCCTCAATATATGCATTCCATAATTTATTTTTCTAGTTTTATAGAATATCAATCTTAAAATTAACATTTCTACCAAACCCAACTTGGATAACAATTGGCTTTTTCGCAACTCAATATTCGAGTCCTTGCGACATTGCTAGCCTAATTGCAACTTTAAAAAAATTACCTTTAAACATTGATGATATCCTATCATTATACAAAATTTCTAAAGCAATTCTCTATTTTAAGCATCCAGCCGTAATCACGTAAGTTATACTTTCATTTATCGTTTAACATAATGTTACACAATTTACCGAACAAAAAGGATTGATTTTAAGATTATCATCATCATGAGCCCCATCCTAACTATTTGAGGTTCACCTCATAAATCCTTCAACTCTATACATTCCTATTGAGTCTGCAAGTAGTGTTTGCTCTAATTTTACTAGGTTATTTTTAACAACTTATTTTACATCACTCTTTTTCCCTATATTGACCCTTTTTAGCTTGCTTACCAGTAGCTATTTTCAATAATAATTAAAATAATGCACCATGTTGACACATGAAGGGGAGCAATAAAGCTAATGTTTGACTTTCACATTTTGGGATGGCTACAACAATAAAAACAAGCATTTATCTCATTAAGCGGGGTCGGCAATATTTTGGGGTGCCTAGAGAAAAAAAAAATACATTAACAAAAAATACAAGGATTTAAAGGATTTATGTGATAATTTTTGCCAAATTATGCGCTGGTTGTCAGCTACCTAACGCAACTCTCCACTTATATCCCTCTTGTGGATAAGACTAGAGAAAAAGTTCAGAAAAAACTTGAATTATGGAGTTCTACATAGGAGTCTACAGGCCTTCGTTTGAGTAGATCTAAAACTGAATACATGGAATATAATTTTAGTAGTTGTAGTAGCTCTAGTGTCGGAGTTATAATTATGGACGATCAAATCATTAAAAGGTGTCAACGTTTTAGATATCTCGGGTATATTGTTCAAAGTGATGATGATATAGATGGAGATGTTATACAAGTTGGTCGGTTGAAGTGGAGGAATGCATCAAGCATATTGTGTGATAGAAAAGTATTGCTCATATTGAAATGAAAATTTTATAAGATGATGGAGAGACCTGCAATGCTCTATGAAACATAATGTTGGCCTTTAAAAGAGAAACATAAAACAAAATTAAGTGCTGCTGAGATTAGAATGATGAGGTTGATGAGTGGCCTGACTCTTAGAGACAATGTGAAATGAATATATCCATGATAGGATTGGTGTAACTCCAGTGGAGGACAAGATTAGAAAGAGTCAACCTAGATGGTTTGGACACCTAAAATATGGATCATTTGATGATCCAATTAGGAGAGTAGATGTTTTAAATTCGGCTTATGTTAAGAAAGGCATAGGTAGATCTAAAAAGACTTGAACATATTGTATAAAAAATGATCTTAATTTATCAAAATTAAATGAAAATATGACACTCAATAAGACGCAATGGATAAAAATGATTCAAGTAGCCGACCCACTTAGTGGGATAAAGGCATATTGTTATTGTATTAACAAATGAAGTTTGCTCATAAGAGGATGTATTAAGAAGCTTCGGAGAATGATTATTGCATTTTATTAACATTTGGGATATAATACACACAAAGTCTAAATTTTAATCAGCTAAGTCAATTAAACTCCCACACTAACCTTATTCCCACCCAATGCCCTAAAGCATCTCTTTTAGAAAGAACAAAAAATATATCAAATCATGATCTCAATACCACCCATAATTTTTTTAGTGCTAGTTGCCTTTCACCTATTAATCATTAATTATGCAGAGCTCCGCAGAGAGATTAAGATAGTAAGGAAGCCATATCGACACTCTCTAAGTGCTGCAAAGCATGGACTGCTGGCATATTAATAGTATCGGATTTTAGTCCGATTGTCAATACCACATGAAACGAGAAAAACTCAATGAAAGAAAAGTTTCAGCCTACAATTTTCAACCTAAACTAGAAATTTTGGTTTAATTAAAGTCCTACACAAAAATCCTAAATTACAACAATCAAATTGAAAAGTTACACAAGTATGAAAGAAGATTCTCCCTTGGAAAGGCTCAATAGAAAATGTACGTGGAAACTTTAGAAAATAAAAATAACAAACAGGAGCAATTCCCTTCCTTACCCCACGCCCCCCCCCCCCGCGCGCCTTTCGGTGAAATAAAAAAGTTTGATTAAAGAACGGATTAGTTCCCTAATTCCATTCTTCATCCCAAGCAATAGTATCTCCCTTAAATTTGCATTAATTTAGTAGATATATTCCTATTCCACCAAATTAATGTGATTAACTTAGTCTTTTTAATTACTATCTCTTCCGAGATTCATAACTAACGACAAATTTTAACATCACATTTGACCAAAAATGAAATATAAATTACCCAAAAAAAAAAATTTATGTCAAAATAAATTATTAATATAAAAAATAGAATTTTTACTATCTATAACAATAGATGTTACAAAATGAAATATAATATCCTAAAAAAGTAATTTAACGTATTAAAGTACAAACAATGAGAAAATCTTGCTACAATTAAACCCTAAATTTAGTCAATAGATGCTTCAACAAAATCTTATAGTAGCAGAGTAAAAGCTTCCCTCCAAGCCCATTGAAGCCAAAGTTGAAGTCGTGCATATGCACGTAGGTCGAAGTTTGTTGATGTATAAGAGCTTTGCTGAAGTGAGGCAACGTCGCTAGTAAAATCACTCAATTGGTTGGTGTAGGGTAGATGAATGTGTTAAAATTTCCCTTGATGGCTCTTGCTCACTTGTTATTATAGAACAAAAGGAGGACAAGATAAATTTTACATGGGATAACTCTTTGTTATAGAAGAAAAAGGTGGGCTGGATAAAATTTAATTGGGATGAAATTTGTATCATATGTTTGTAGGTTTTGAGGCATGTGAGTTGCATGTCCATTGTGCGCCCAACACACATTCAAAGAGAATTTTACTCTAATAGATCCCACAATTGTGGGTATGTCCGACATATGTCGTGTCATGTCAGTGTCGTGTTTGTTTTCGACTAAGGGTGTAAATAAACAAAACTCGTGTTCGTGTTCGGTTCGCTTGAAATAAAGTTTGTTTGAAATAGACTCGTGTTCGAATTGTTCTTGAAGTTACTGTTCGTGTTCAGTTCGATTTGTTTGAAATTAATTTGAAATGTCTGAAATGTTTGAATTGCTCTAATTGTTCGAATAGTTCGAATTATTTGAATTGTTCAAAATCTTATAAATTTGTTTGAATTGTTCAAAATCTTTCACAAGCTTAAATCTGTATGAAATTAATGCTTAAACTTGTATGAATCACAACACAAATGTAAAATAGCCAAAACACAACTCACAACAAAACCATAATATCAAATCTCATCTATAAAAAATTCAGATCTATAGGCAATATGCGAGATTTCATTCTCAAAACTTCAAAAACTAGTTTTCACCCAAAAATAAATAAATAAATCTAAAAGAAATAAAAGAAAAATTAGGCGAAGAAGCGAACCTGAAGATAAATATGAAATATTAAAGAAAAGATATTCAAAGATGACACCTAAGTAGCCTTACAAGCAACCAAGCAAGATTACCCAACATTTAATCCAACGCCGAGTTGCCACTCGTCGAGGACAAAAAAACTTTATCGAAGACAAACAAAAGTAGAGATTAGAGAACGAACACAAACGACAAAACCTAAGCTCCCGTGGCCGAAAGCTTTTCGCGATTTTGAGAGGAGAAGGAGAAGGAGAAGAATCAGAGAAGGGGAGCTGGCCGAAACCTAAAGCTTTTGAGAAGGGAAGGGGAGGTTGGTTGGGGTAAAGTGGCTTAGGTTTTTAATAATAAATAATAATATAATATATTATATTAATTATATATCTTATATTATATAAATATATAATATTTATATTACTAATATGTAAATATATTATTATCAATAATTTATTGTAAATTTTTAGAGTACATAATTATTTTTAAAATATAATAAATTTTTTATATATAAATATTATAAATTTTTTATATTTCGAACAATAACGATTCGAACACGATCGAACACATGACTGTTTGTGTTTGGTTCGCTTATAAACCGAACGAAAAAAATTGTTCTTCTTCGTCACGTTTGTTTATCGAACGAATCGAACACGAACTCCCTGACAAGTGAAACACGAACTGTTCGCGAACGAGCTTTTTTGACAACCCTATGTTCGACACATTTGACACAGACACAAAGGATATGTAAAAGTGTCTATATGCTTCACGACATAAGAACTAGCAATGATCCAGCTGTAAATTCCATGGAATCTGAGGATAAATTATAAAGAATTGAAGAAAGTGCTCTTATCGTGAAAGAAGAGAACAACAAACCAAATGATTAGCCACAATCAAGAAATAATCGGTCATAATAATGATTGCTTTCAAAACTCTTATTGCTAAAGTAACAAGGCCATTATCAACTTCATCATGTAACTAGACAAAAAGTATATCTAATAAGGAAAAGCATA